CCCTCTCCTCCCCATCCCCCCTTGCCAACAAAAATAACAATTTTCGTTCTTTTTTAGCCGACTTATGCCGTTTTACCTAAACCGGGAGAAGGACAAGTTAGATTTTTTAACGGTTTTACAGAAAATATAACTCTCAATAGTCCAGAACTCGGTCTTGAAAATCACGAATTGGTCACGTTGGGAAAATTGGAAATGCTAAACATAAAATTACAAAATGAAAAATCGTTCACGGTTAAATATTCGATCGGAAAAGAAAAAGCGAAAGAAAAAGAAATTAAAGTTTTCGAAAATCTCGTACGTTGCCATTTTTCTTTTGGATTTTTCTAAAAAAAAATTAAATTTTTCAATTTTTCTAAAATTTTTTTTTACAGGCGACATCATATACTTTCACACCGGATAAAGTTTTAATCGGAGAAAATGAAGATGCGGATAAATCGGATAACGGAAATCCAAAATTCATGTTAATTTATTCAAATTATGATGAAAAATTTACACCCAAGAAAATTTTACTCTCCGAAAAAGGACAACCTCATTATGTATATAATTTAACAATCGAAAATGGAAAAAATCAATATAATCCATTTAAAAAAATCGATTTGGTTACGGAAACGTGAGTTTTCCTTTTTTTTAAGCTCATCATCGTTCGCCGAAAACACAATGAATGATGATTTGAAAAAATTTCATTTCAGGTACACGTTATCAGTAGACGGTAAAATGGTTTTAAACGATATAAGCATGAAACAGGGTGGTTGTTATTTAGCATTAATAAGTCAAACATCAGATGAAATAAAAGCGAACGTATTAACGATAACAAATCCGAACAGCGTTCACATACTTTGGTTGATACCACAATACATAGTAATAACGGCAGGAGAAATAATGTTTTCAATAACAGGTTTAGAATTTTCATTCACGCAAGCTCCGAGTAGTATGAAATCCCTTTTGCAAGCTGCATGGCTCATAACCGTTGCATTGGGTAATCTTGTTGTCGTAATCGTAGCAGAAGCTAAAATATTCGACAGCCAGGTAAAAACGACAAATACTCCTTTATTAATGACGTTGACCTGTTTTTTTTTTTTTTTTTTTTTAAATCCCAGAATTTTGAAAAAAATTTCAGATGTACGAATTTTTATTGTTCGGTGGTCTCATGTTATTGGACATGATAATATTTGCACTCATGGCTATGCGTTATAAATACGTCGAAGTGTCACAAATAGTCGAACAAGAGGCTGCAGTTATTGGAAAAGTCGAGGGAACCATAACCGATCCATAATTTTGTCGATTTATAACGAACAAATTGTGTTTTATGTTAAGTAAAATCGTTACTTACCTATTATTATTATGTTTCGCAAAACGATTCCAAGTTAAAAGTGATCTGAAACGTGAAAAATTATTATATATATATATATTAAATCGTTTTTAATGAAATATAATGATGATGATGATGATGATTATGTGATAAAGATTTTAAATGTTGCCAATCGATTTTAATAAAAAAAAAAAACATGTGAATATTTCAACGTGATAATAATAATAATTAGTTAGGGAAAAATTAAATTGTTAAATAATTTTAACAAATATATATAAAATAATTTTATTATTGTCTATTTGTTTCCCCCCCCACATCCTCCCTCCTCCTTCCTCCCTTACTTTAAAGGATTTGTTCCTATAATAAATAAATTACATATAATTAAACTATAAATGATTTTTATTTAATGTTAATTTAAAAAAAAAAAAAAAAAAAATCCTACAGGGAAAATTTGAAATTAAATAGTTCTACAAAAAACCGCCATTTTTCTTTTTATATACTCCTTTTAAATGTATATTAAAATGAAACGCAATTACGACGAAACTTGTTATTAATAAATAACATTTTAAAAAATATATATTGGAATAAAATGATTGAATAATAAAAATCATAATCAATAATTAAAAATATTATAATCATGCCCAAAATTTTATTTAATTTAAAAAAAATAATAATAATTTCATAGAGTAAGAAATAATAATTTTATTTATCGATATTGGTCGAGAGAACTGTATTCAACCAATAGAATTTCTAATTAGTTATTCGAAAATTATTTTTACGTCACATAAATCAATCGAATATGTTTTATTTTTAAAATAAGATTTGAAATTTTTATTTATTTATTTAACAAAATTTTTATTAATAATTTCGTCGTAATAAGTTTTTTATTAAAAACTAATAATTATTTGTTCGTCGTTATGACTTTCGACTGGGAGTCAATTAATTCATTTCTGGTAAATTAAAAAAATAATTTTCATATGATGACACAGCTATTATCTGTTTTTTTTTTAAATTTTTGATTTTAAATTATGAAAATGTTACTAAACAGAAAATTTTTTCCTCACAAAACAGTATGTTCATTTTTTTTTGCTTTTTTTTGCTTTTTAGAATGATTCAAAAACTGTAACACTTTCATATTCAGATGAAAAAGGTAGAGAAATGCCAGTTTCTTGTGAATCAGAATTTAGAGAAGCTGTTAAAGTAAGGTTTTAAAAATAACTAATTTGTAAGATTTATAATAAATCATTTAAAGATTTTTTATTAAAAAAAAAAAAAAAACACTCCATAATTTTAGTATGCAAAAAAAAATGGGAAAAATTACATTCGATTCTCAATAAAATCAAACGAATTGAGTCCGTATGAAGAATTTTCGATTAGAACAAAATCATCTGATAATAATTCTCAAGAGTGTGTAAGCGATAACAAATTGAAAAAAAAAGAAAAAGGAGAAGGTTTAAATTTAAATAAAGATGATGGTTGTAAATCAAACAATGATGTACCTCCTCCTTGGTTTGTAAATTATATGAAAAAAGTATGCTAGCATATTATTATTATTTGTTTAACCTTAACCTAAATGTAAATAATAATTTATGTTTTGTTTTGTTTTGTTTTTTTACAGTTTAAGAAAAGGATTGTGGAAGAAATAAGAACAGAAATGAAAAATATTGTTCATGACACTTGCGAAAAAGAAAGTAGAAAACTTTTAAATAAACTTGAAATGACCGGTTTGACATTTCCATCGAATGATGAAATAAAAAAAAAAGAAATTTTCGATATAACTTATAATTTAACCGATGAAATTGAAAAACAAAAGTAAGAAGAACATGACTAATTTTTTTTTAAAATGAATCATTAGTATTATTATTATTATTTTTTGATTTTCGTAGATTGGAAAAGAAATGGAAAGAAGTTCAAAAAGCATGCATGAAAGCGATTAAATCTGCAAGTTCTCGAAATCAAGTAGTCGAAGATATCGACAAAGGATTTAAAAAACAAGAAAAAACAAAACAACATTCGAAATCAGAGAAAAGAAATGCTGATGCATTATTAAATTCATTTAATAAATCAAATCCATCTGTAATGTTTTTAAACAAGGTTTATGAAACGACAATAACTCAAAATGAAAATTTTTACATACAGTTACCGATTGTTAATGTGGGTAAAATTCCTGTTAAAAGAATTAAAATATTATGTTCGACAATGGATGGTGTATCACTTGATGAACCATACTATGAAATTGGGGCTTTATCACCAGGAGAACAATGCAATATAGTTTTGTCTGGAAAAGTATCTAAAGAAATTGGCCTTTATTACATTGTTTGTAGAATATATAAAGAATTGAAAGAATTGTGTTGTCCTTTGATTTGCACGATAAAGGTCGTCACGCGAAATTCTCTTGAATGCGACAAACAAAAAATTGATCACACTAAAACAGGGATCACGTCTGACGTCATATTAAAATGTCAAAAAGAAATACAGGAAAATATGAATGAAATTCAAGAAAGATTGGAAAGCATCAACACTCTTCGATCTCGAAGTATTGAAAAAATTTTTCCAACGACTTTTTCTTGTGATAAAGAAGAAAAAATGTTTGTCGGAACCGGAAACGAAACGAAGAAGAAACAGGATTTTATTACAAAAGAGAGTGAATTTGAAAAATTTATTATTAATTCAGATAACAAGGGTGATGATTCTGAGGAAAAAGTTTTTGACATCAAGGGTAAAACAACAGTCAAAATCCCAACTGATAACTATTTTGATAATGATAATAATATTGAAAGTAAATTATAAAAATTGTAATTAGTTATAGAAAACTTTTTGATTTTTAAACGTTATGAAATGTTTTTTTTTTTTTCTTTTGTTTTTATTCAGGTAAAGAAAAATTGACAGATGAAAAAATAAAAAATGATAGAAAATCAAAAGGTTGTAGCGAGGAATCTGATTCAGAATTAAGCGTTATAAGCGTATCGGACAAGGAAGATGAAGAAGAAGAAGAAGAAGATGACGAAGCTTTTGTTATATTAAAATTAACAGAATCAAATTCCGATTCAGAAGAAGGTAATTATCAATCATTCAATGGAAATACATTTGTAAAATAATCGCATTTAAGGAGGTTTTTAATTTAGTTTTAGGAGAAGTTAAAAACGAAGGGATTCCCAAAGGTATTTTCACCGACGTTAACGATGAGAAGGAGGAGGTGTCGTCGAAAGAAAAAGAAAGCGAAGTATCGGGTGATGATAAAACGGATGAGAAAACGAAAAAGATACACGAAGGTCAGTTTAATTCGACGAGTATTCGATCTGTTTATTCTTCGAAAGACCGGAAATTAACGAAAAAAAAAAAGAATAAATTGTTGCCAAGATCAACAAATTATCATTTCACGACAAATAACTTAACCGAACCTACTTTTATGGTTAATCCAGACAGAATTAGTAAAAAGGGAGAGAAGAAATCCGGGACTGTTGTTGATTTTGACGAGAACGAGTCCGAAAAACCGTTCGAAATGTTTACGAGAAAAGAAGATTTGAAAAAATCATCAAAAGCTGCTTACGTCATCGACGCGAACGGATTTTGCATTCCTCTTAGAGGGGATGACGAACGGGAAAACGAGGCTGGAAATTTTTTTTCAAACGAATCAAATTCTAATAATAACAATTCAGGTTTTGTTTTATCAACGAGTTCATTTTTTTTGAAATAATGTGTGAGCCATGACTGAAGTAATTTAATTTTCAGGAAACGAAAGCGAAGAATCGGTTAACGTTTTACCGGATGCTTTAGTGAACGGAGCTTCGAACGTGGCCTCGATGGCGATAAACACGGCAAAATCCGTTATAAATAATTTACAATCAGCATTCGTTTCAGACGGGGTAATCGATCGGGTATTAATTGATTGATTTTTTAAACCATTCATTCATTTAATTATATAATTATTGATTCGTTCGTTTCAGAAGACCGAAGAGGGTAAACCCTCTTGCGATGAGGACGACGAGGAAGAATCGGAGAAGAAGAAGAAGAAAAAGAATGCAAAATCATCACTCGATGCAAATTATAAACTTTTCGAAATGGGTTTCGAAGATTTCGATTTGAATGCAAAACTTCTCACCGAATGCAATAACAATTTGTCGAAAGTAATAGAAAATCTAATTGAAATATCAAAAAAGAAAAATCGTTTACTCCCGGATTATTTTTAAAATTTTCTCATTTTCATCCCTTAACGCATCACGTTAATTAGATACATTAACTACAATTAAATGCGCCTATTCGCAACAAACACTTAGTCTATTCAAACAAACAAACAGAAAAACTAATAATAATAATAATAATAAATGGTTAATATTATTAACTAACAAAAAAGATGAAAATTAATTTTCAATATATGTTATCATTAACGCTGATAAATTATTAAACTTATTAACTATGCTTAACAAATAATTAGTTAGTTAGTTAGTTAGTTTGTTAGTTAGTAAGAAAAAACATAAAAAAATCTCATGCAAACTTATTATTAAATATTTTGATTGATTTTTACTGTTTTTTAGTCTATTTTATAAGTAGATTAGCAAGTATAATAATTAACAAACATGGTTACACATAAAAATATCCTACTTTATTAATATTCTTGTTGTTATTATTAATAATCTTCATAAGTTTTATTCATTTGATAACTTGTTTAAATATTTTAAATAATAAGATTTATTAAGATTAAAAATTATTTGTAATAATTGAATTTAAATTCGACTGAATGTTGTTATTCATGTATGAAAAAAAAAGAGAGAGAGAGAGATGGGAAAAAAAGTTTTATATAAAATTATTATTTTAAATAAAATTTTATAAATGATTAATAATCTCCTGATAATTATTATTATTTTACTTAATGTAATATGAAAATATTGTGTTAATTGTATTATTATAAGTCTAACTTTACTTTGATAAGTTTAATAAGAAAAAAAAGAAAGAAAGAAATTAATCATAAGGAAAGAATACTTGTTGGTGAAATAATTGTTAGTAAAAAAAAGTCAAATTAAATTAAACGTCCAGTCAATAAATGTTAACATGTTTTTAAAAAGGTAAATTTCAAATTGAAATTTATGACAATTTATGGCAATTTTTTCGATATTAACGTGTTTTAAATAAAAATAAAAATCAATTTTTTCCTTACTTTTTAATTTGAGTGACGACGCCATGATGATATCTTTTTGTATTTCAAGTATCACTTCACAGTAACTCGTAATTTACTTTTTTTTTTTTTTAATTAAAAAAGTAAATTTTATAGAAAATACTTAATTTAAAATGAATAACTATTAATTTCACCGAATGAATTAAAATACAAAAAATTATAATTTTTTTTTTCACAATGACACACACACAGACACAATCACGACGTTGTTTTCTCTCGCACTACTGATTGATTAAGGCGCGAATTCTCGTTTGGTACGTTCTCTACTTCCACGACAAAAAAATTTACTTTTCAAAAGTTTCGTGTCAGAGATCAAAGCTGGGTTCGTTGCCAGAGAGATAAATAATACTTTTTTTTTTAAATATGTGATTATATTATTATTTTTAAACATGTATTTAGTTATTAATTGAATAATGAAGAAACACAGAGGTAATTACATACCTAGTTGGGCGCGTAAAACTCCTTGCGCCCCTACAAAACGATCAAGAAAAACGATATGCAATGAAGGCAGACTCCAATCATTTCAAGATGTTATGGGAAATAGGGAAGAAGTACGAAAGGCAGAGTCGGAAGGAAAAATAACGAAAAACGTTATCGATTTACGTGAAACTCCCATGTATTCAAATGATGATTTGGCTGTGAGAATGCTTGCACCTTTTCCATCTGAATCAAACAAGTATTCATTATTAAATTATATTTACTCTTGATATACGTGTAGCATATTAAAACGATTTATTTTTCGTTTCAGTTTCAATAAATTAAAAGACGCCATTCCGTTTCACATTCCACATAAAAGAATACTTCACACATTGAGTTTTAAAGTTCCAGAAATTGAACCATTGGTAAGAAAATTTAAATATTTATCATTAATAAAAATGTGATGAGTATTATTTGAATCCATTATGTGAGAAAAAAAAACTTAAACTTCATTCAAATATTTTATAATTATCATTTTTATTTAATATCAACTTGAAATAATGATTGAATTGTGTACAACATTACTCTTGGTCTATTAAAACTAAATTTTTCAATTAGTTTTTAGTTGTTTTTTATTATATGATGAAGAAAATAAAGTTTTAAAGAACTTTTATCAGGTTTTTTTATAAAATAAAGAAAAATTTTATGTTTTAAATGCTGTACATAAATTTAAGTCATATATATATATATATATATATATATATTTAATGGTTTCTTTTCAATTCGTCAACAATTAACGTAGTTAAAAATTTTCACGTAACGGAAAAAATTAATTTAAAATAATCGAACGTAAAACTTTTTTTTTTTTTTTTTTTTTTTTTTTAGCCTGGATATTTGGATAGTCAAAATCGAAGGAGGAGACCAAGAACTCCCAGTCCAGAAAAAGTTGAATCTGAAAAAAGTTTAGGTAAATATCAATTTAAATAAGTTAAGTAGCATAAGTTTTTAGTATTATACATAATAATGATTAAGAAAATGTAATTTTAAATAAACAATCATGGCAATTTTTTTTTTAAATTAATATTTGAATTAAAGTTATAATTAATTTTATTTTGACAGTTCCAGAAGTAATTGTGGGTGGGAAAAAAAAACCTCCTGATTATTTAATAGATGTGAAAAATTTAATTAAAGAAATGAGAAGTTACGAATCGTATTATTTTGTTTATTTAATTTATGGAGTTAGAAGAACATCGGAATTTTTCACACCTTTTGCATTCAAGTAAGTAAATTGAAAAATTTTACAAATTAAAGAATCCTTTAGCCACGACTGAGGCATAGTTTTCTGTTCCTAGATTTCCCCCAAAAATGAAGTCTAATTACTGAATTTCTCTTCAGAATAGTTACTTACGACGAAATCGGTAATAAAAATTACTTGACTGTCAGTACTCATGGAGTTTTATTTCATTCACCTGGAGAAATAACATTTACTAGCTTAGATGATTGGGAAAAGGAATATGATTATTTTTGTAAACTTTCAGAGGTAAATTAGAAAATGATTTAAATTTTTTTTTTTACCATTTCTCCAATCGTTATTTTATTATTATTATTATTATTATTATTATTTATCGACAGGTACGAATGTTTAAATTGTATCGCATATGGAAAGCATTTTACATGTGGAAAAAAACCGTTAGCTGGAGAAAATATGTCGATGCAAGAGTTAAACTAGCATTAAATTTATTCATTTTAAATCCGATATTGAAGGATGCATTGCTGGAAGTTAAATTAATGTGTGTTAAATTAGAGAACACATCTTTTCCTGATTTGAAAAAAACCGAAAATTTAAAACTATTTGAATTTATAGAAATTCAGGTTGGAAAGATATTTGTCATCAACTTTTTACTTTTAAAAATTATCATGTATTATCATTATTATTTTTTTTTTTTAAAGATGGAGAGTTTGGAAAATGTAATGGATAAACTTATAGAATTTCGTGAAATCGTTAAAAATTTAATAAATACTGCTTGTCACGGTGCTCTTTTGGTTGAGGGTTTTTCCATAAATGACAACAAAACAAATTCAAGTCTTGGCGTTTTGTTAAAAACAACGGATACAAATTTAAAGATGTCTTATACTGAACAAGCGAATAAAAGACGTGTATGCGAACGCCTTGCCAAGTATGTTTAAAAAAAAAAAAATTTAAGATAAAAAAATTATAATTTAATACAATTTTTTTTTTTTTTTAAATTTCAGTTTTATAAATCTTATAGATTATTTAATGTGTGAACTTTATCACGTATGCGTCGCTAATTCAATTATCGATATTTCTGGAGCTTTGGATAAACATTTAAAATATCTTCCAACATCCTCCATGTTGATCGGAGAGGAAGCACTTGCTAAATTAGATATTATAGGACCGGACCAACCGAAAAATTCTTTTTTTTTAGTCGACGTATTTGCCGAAATAGGAAAAATCGTTACGGATCCATCGGAACAAATTTTCGAAGAAACGTTTCAAAATCTCCTGGATTTATACGAAGAAAAAGTTATCGATTTGATACCATTTGTTCAAGAGCCATTTTTTTTATCAATCATAGAGTACGTCGTATTAAATGCTAATTTTTGAAAATTGTAAAAAATAAAATTTTATCGTTTATATTTAGGCCTATAATAAACGACAAACATTCGGATCGACTTATTGGAGAAGGACCCTCACTCACGATGGCATTTCAATTGGATGAAGACATGCAAAATTTAAAAACTAAAATAATGAATGATATTTCTTTAAATTTCAAACGGGTCGAATATTTTCTCACACGTCTCGACGACATTCAAGAATTTTATTCGGAAAATTGTCTCATGAATACGGATGTTATTGTACACGAAAAAAGTATGTTATGGTACTCACTCACTATTTAGGTACAAGGGAAATTAAATTATTTTAATAATAATAATAAATAATTTTATCTTCAGGTCCAACCGTTATGAGAATGCTTTTAGAAAAATTTCACGATCAAATAGATACGCTTAAAAATTTACACGGAAAACAAATCATCGGAATGATTGGTTTGCAATTGGAAGATTTTAAAAATGAAGTCATGCCATCTCCGTTAAAATTATTATCCATGGTCGAAAAAGCGATTCCTCTGTGAGTGAAAATCAAACAAATTTTTGAAAATTTTTTAAAAAAAGAAAATTTTTATTTACTTTTTAAATACAGTTTAGGATCGGCGAGAGTTGATGCGTTAACAAAAGAATGTACATACGCGATAGATTTTTTAGAAGTTTATCCGAGCACGACCATTGAATTCGTCAAACATTTAGAATTAATCGATGAAATCAGTGCGAGGATAGAAGAAATCGAACTTGAAATAGATTACGCCAAAGAAATATATGACATAATCGAAGAATTTCGCGTGCCCGTTCCCGTTGCCGAAGTTGAAGCTTATTATAATTTTTCATCCATACTCACATCATTGAGAAATTTAACGGAAAAAAAAGTTGCCGATAAAGCGAATTTAATTGAAAAATTTAATAAGCAACTTAGTAAGGATATAAGTGCGCTCATACGTGAAGTTGGTGTCATACAGGATGAATCAGTCGTGAGTTACCCCCTTTTTTTTTTTGCAATAATTAAAAAAATTATCGGGAGAGAAATTCTAAAATGTAAAAAATTAATCATTTCAGCAAGATTGGCTCATTCAAAAAAAATCAAATCCAAACGATTGTAAATTTACGTTAAATGTCATCGTCGATCAATTATCGGATTGTCAAAAAAGAGCACAAGAAATAAAAGGATATCAAAAAGAGTTTAAAATGGAAGTGACGAAATTTGAAATGTTGGAAAACGTTATCAATGACGTTCGTCTTCGTCAACTTCTTTGGGATAGTCTAGATAGTTGGAAAAGGACGAGCGATGAATACAACAACGGTGATTTTTCGACGCTCGTACCCGACGATGTTAATATGTACGTAACGAAAATATTAAAGAACATAATACAGTTGGATAAAGGACTACCGGCGAACGATATAACTCCGGATTTCAAAGAAGAAGTTGAAAGATTTCGGGAAAAAATACCCGTCATAACGCATTTACGAAATCCCAATTTAAAACAAAGACATTGGTTGAGAATCGAAGGGATTTTAAATTATAAATTCATACCTGGAGAGGTGTTAACGTTAAAAAAATTCGAAGAATTGGGAGCTTTCATGTATGCGAACGAATTGCAAGATGTTTCGGCTCAAGCAAGTTCGGAAGCATCCCTGGAATTACTATTGAAAAAAGTCGAAGATAATTGGAAAGAATTAGAATTTATTATATTTCCATATCGGGATACGAAAGATGTTTTCATATTGGGAAGTTTGGATGAAGTGCAACAAGTTTTAGACGATAGTTTTATTAATATAAATACCATTCTTAGCTCCAGACATGTCGGACCAATTAAATCAAGAGTCGACGAATGGTACAAATTATTGGATTTGATTAGTAAAACATTGGTACGAATTTTTTTAAATGAAAAATTTTAACGTTTTCCTCACAAAATTCGACATTAATTTTTTTTTAATAATTTTTAAAAGGACGAATGGTGGACTTGTCAAACTAATTGGTTGTACTTGGAATCCATATTTTCTGCTCCCGATATTCAAAGACAACTACCGAACGAAGCTAAAATGTTTTTGATCGTCGACAAAACGTGGAAAGATATAATGAGAAGAACGAATAAAGTATAGAAAAAAAATTTAAATTATTAAATAAATATTTTCATTCGATTGATTAAAAATAATTATTAAATAATTTTTTAGAATCCTCTTGCTCTTCAAAGTGCTACCTATCCGGGAACTTACGAATCGCTTGTCAATAATAATAAACTTTTAGATCAAATTTTAAAATGTTTAGAAGCTTATTTGGAATCTAAAAGAGTTATTTTTCCAAGATTTTACTTTTTATCAAACGAAGAACTTCTTGAAATTTTGGCACAGGTAAAATAATTTAATAATAATAATAATACTCGGCAATTTATTTTGAATTTTTTTTGCAAAAAAAAATTTTCATTACAGACTAGAAATCCTCACGCTGTACAACCCCATTTAAGAAAATGTTTCGATGCTATAACAAGACTCGAATTTGGAGTCGTGGGTGGTAAAAATGAACAACAATTGACGACGGATATTTCGGCAATGCTGTCGCCGGAAGGGGAAAGAGTACCTTTGGGAAAAGTAAAATTATTATTATTATTGTTTTTCCCGGTTTAAATTCGTGAAAATTAAAAAAAAAAATTTTATTTTATAGGGTTTGAAAGCGAGAGGAAACGTTGAAGATTGGCTTGGTAAAGTTGAAGAATCCATGTTCGTGTCGTTAAGAAAAGCCATGAAATATGCTTTATTAGATTATTTAGTCAAAGATCGTGTTGTATGGGTTTTGGAACATGCTTCTCAGGTTGCGATTAATCAAATACAATTTTAAAAAATTTTTATTTTTAAGATTATGCTTATATACGTGATTTTTCGGGTAGATTATTTTAACGGTGTCACAAATAATGTGGTGTAAAAGTGTACACAATATACTGGATGGTACTGGAAAGAAATTAACGGCAATGATGGAATTCGAGAAAAAAAACTTTTACGAACTCAATCGTTTAGCAGGAATCGTTCGTGGTACCTTAACTAAATTAGGACGATTGGTTTTATGTTCATTAATTACCATCGATGTACACGCAAGAGATAACGTCACGAATTTAGTTAAAGAAAAAGTTATTTCTAGGTGCTTTATTTACCAACTTTAAAAAAAAAAAAAAAAAAAAAAAAAAAAACTTTACAATGAAACTTTTAAATTAATTTTTTTTTTTTTTTTTTTTTTTTAAATCCAAGTCAAAATTTCGAATGGTTAAAATGTCTGCGTTATTATTGGGACGAAGAAATCGATAATTGCGTTGCAAGAATGTCTAATGCTTATTACGTTTACGGTTATGAATATTTGGGGGCTTCCCCTCGTTTGGTAATAACGCCACTAACCGATAAATGCTACTTGTGCTTGATGGGAGCTTTGCAATTAGATCTTGGAGGAGCACCCGCGGGTCCCGCCGGTACTGGGAAAACGGAAACAACAAAAGATTTAGCAAAATCATTAGCCATACAATGTGTTGTTTTCAACTGTTCCGAAGGTTTGGATTTCAAGGTACGGAAAATTTTAACGAATAACTTCATCATCAATTTTGAGTTTATAAAAAAACCTTTTAAAATTTTTAGATGATGGGCCGATTCTTTTCCGGTTTAGCACAATCCGGAGCCTGGTGTTGTTTCGACGAATTTAATCGTATTGATATTGAAGTTTTATCGGTCATAGCTCAACAATTAATAACGATAAGAAACGCGAAAGCGGCAAAATTATCAAGGTAATGATAATAAAATTTATTTTAAAACCAACAAAAAAATTAAAAATGATTTTACAAATTCTTTTGTTTCAGGTTCATGTTCGAAGGTAGAGAAATCAAATTGGTACGACAATGTGCTGCTTTTATAACAATGAATCCGGGATACGCGGGAAGAACTGAATTACCGGATAATTTGAAAGCGTTATTTAGACCTATGGCCATGATGGTTCCTGATTACGGTACCTGAATTTATTAAATTTATATCGATTGCCTTTTTGTTAATTTCTTCGTCAAAACCGTTTTTTTTTTATAGCTTTAATAGCAGAAGTCATTCTATATTCAGAAGGTTTTGAATCGTCAAAAGCTTTAGCACATAAAATGACACAAATGTATAAATTATGCAGCGAACAATTGTCATTGCAAGATCATTACGATTTTGGAATGAGGTTAAATTTTTTTTTTAATATAAAAATATTTACGATTTGTGATATCGTTTGGTATTATTATTATTATTTTGAATTTTCCAGAGCTGTAAAAAGTGTTTTAGTCATGGCTGGTTCATTAAAAAGAGAAAATCCAGATATTGACGAAGATGTTGTACTTATAAGAGCATTAAGAGATAGTAATTTACCTAAATTTTTATCCGACGATGCTTTGCTATTTCAAGTAAATCAATTTACATCGTTATTACATATTTTGTTTATACCGCCATTGTTAAAATTTTCTTCTCTCTCTCTCTCTCTCTCCCCAGGGTATTTTAAGCGATCTTTTTCCCGGTGTCGTTTTACCCGAACAAGATTACGGTGAAATGGATACGGTGATTGTTGAGGTAGTGGAAGAAAGCGGATTACAACCCGAACAATGCATGAGAAGAAAAGTCATTCAATTATATGAAACACTATTGGTCAGACATGGTGTCATGTTAGTAGGTCCCACGGGAGGTGGTAAAACAACAGTTTTAAATGTAAACAAAAAATCTTTTTTAATTTTAACGTAAGATATTAAAGAATTTACCAACGGTTAAATCGATTATTACAGGCTCTTAAAAATACTCTGGGGAGACTTTATTCAATGGGTATCGAAAATCCTAATTACAGACCCGTACAAACCTACGTAATGAATCCGAAATCAATAACGATTGGAGAATTATATGGAGAAGTTAATTTCATGACGATGGAATGGAAAGATGGAGTTCTCGGGATGGCAGTTAGAACAGCCGTTCAAGTAAGTTAAAATCGATCGCAAACCTTTAAATTTATCTATTTTCAAAATTATTATTCCGAAGAAAGGAATTTTAATTAGGCTCAATCTGAAGATCATCAATGGGTTATCTGTGATGGACCCGTGGATGCTGTTTGGATAGAAAACATGAACACCGTTTTGGATGATAATAAAATGCTTTGTTTAGCTAATTCGGAAAGGATTAAATTAACTCCTTACGTCCACATGATTTTCGAAGTTATGGATTTGGCTCAAGCATCTCCTGCAACCGTCAGTAGGTGAGAAACATGAGAGAGGATAAAATCCCGAAATTTGGCTTTGGAAGTATACCCTAACATCTTTTTACTTATTTACAGGTGCGGTATGGTTTACATCGATCCCGACGAATTAAGATGGATGCCCTACGTTAAAACATGGATTAAACAATTACCGGAAACAATTAATTTAACGGAAGAATTTAAAACGTTTTTATTAGAATTGTTTAACGTTCACGTCGACGATTGTTTATATTATTTAAAAAAAAATTGTACATTTGGAATTAATCAGGTTTTTAATCAGGTTCCCCGCCTCCTCCTCCTCCTCCCCCCCCCGGTAATAATTTATTATCCTTTTCATTTGTTTATTATTATTTTTTCAGGTCGACATAAGTAAAGTAACAGCACTTTGTAAATTAATACAATCTATTTTAATGGAACCTAATTCTATTGATAAATCCATGGATCGTTCAAAAATAAAAAGTTTTATTTATCAAACTTTTTCATTTGGATTAGTTTGGGGTCTCGGTGGTAACATAAACGAACAACATAGAAACATGTACGAATTGTTTTTAAGAACAATGTTCGAAGATAAAGAAGATGCAAAGTAATAATTGTTTTTTATTCTATTTGAAAATTATTATTATTATTTAAAGTCTAATCGTCGTGATTTTGGACAGTTTATCGACTGCAGCTGATTTATGGGATATGTATATCGATGTTCAAAATAAAAGAATGGAACAATGGTTGAAAATAATTCCGAATTTCGAATATAATCCGGAAACGCCATATTTTGAAATTCTCGTACCCACGCAAGACACCGTGAGATTCGGGTACTTGATGGAAAAACTTTTAAACGTAAATCAACCCGTCATGTTTACCGGAAATACAGGTTCGGAAAAAATTAAGAGAGAGCGAATTGAATTTTCCGTATATATCTTTGATTTGACGTGACCGTTAAACGTTTAGGCGTTGGTAAATCTGTCATAACCAAAGCCGTCATCCAATCAATTGTGGCCAAAGGTCGTTGGTTGCCCATAACGTTAAATTTTTCCGCACAAACGAGTAGCGCAAGAACGCAAGAAATGATCGAATCTAAATTGGAAAGGAAAAAGAAAACAGTTTTCGGTGCTCCCATGGGTAAAAAATTTATAGTTTTTGTTGATGACGTCAACATGCCAAAATTAGACACATACGGATCTCAACCACCCATTGAACTTTTAAGGTATGCTTTTTAAAGTTTATTGATTATGTAAAAAAAAACTCCATTATTACCGATTTGTTTTTTTCTCCAGGCAATATCTTGATTTTGGAGGACTTTACGATAGGGAAAAACTTTTTTGGAAAGAAATTCACGACGTTATTCTCAGCATAGCTTGCGCTCCTCCCGGAGGTGGTAGAAATCCTTTAACTCCGAGATTCGTCAGACATTTTTCCATGTTTTTAATTCCATCACCGTCGGAAATGGCTTTGAAAATGATATTCAGGGTATTTTAATACCGATACCGATAATAATAATAATCACACGTTAAATTTTTTTTTTTACGTTCCAGGCGATCGTGCAGGGTTTCTTAAACGATTTCGTACCGCCAATAAAAAATTTAGCAAATGGGATCGTTAATGCAGCTACGGAAATCTACGATAGAATATCCACAGATCTACTACCGACTCCTGCCAAATCCCATTACGTATTCAATTTAAGGGATCTTTCTAAATGCATACAAGGAACTTTACAAGCGGATCCGGGGACTTTCCGAGAAAATACACAAATAATGAGATTATTTTATCACGAATGTCTAAGAGTTTTCCACGATAGATTAATTAATAAAGAAGATAAAAGTTATTTTTATTTTTTAATGAGAGATGTAAGAGTTTTTTTTTTTTAAAATCTCAAAAATTTTCCTCTTTTTTTTTAAATTAATTAACGCATTTTAAAATTTTTTTTAGATATGTTCGAAAGTTTTTAGCACGCCAGTACTTTTTTTCGAAGATGAACCGATTCTAACAAATCCACCCGTATTGATTTTTGGGGATTTTATGAATCCCTCCGCACCGAAAGAAGATAGAACATACGAAGAAATAACAAACATAACGAAATTAAAATCAGTTTTGCAAGTAATCTTATATCACCGATTAGCAAAATCCCTTTTCTGAATACATATATATATATATATATACCTTCAAATATTATTATTATTTTTTTTTTTTTGTTTATTAATCCCCCAGGATTATTTAGACGATTATAATTTAATTACATCGAAAGACATGAAATTAATTTTTTTCATGGATGCCGTAGAACATTGTTCGAGATTAGCAAGAATTTTAAGAGCTGAAAGAGGTAACGGTCTTTTAGTTGGAGTCGGAGGAATGGGTAAACAAAGTCTTACAAAATTGGCATCTCACGTTAATGGTTACAAGTAAAAAAAAAAATTTCAACTCGTATTTGTCGTTAAAGCAAAAAAAAAATCTGATTTTTAAATTGAAATTGTAATTTTATGTTTTTAAAAAAGGTGCTTCCAGATAGAACTCACTGGAAATTACGATCACGCGTCCTTTATGGAAGATTTAAGAAAAGTTTGTTTTAATGCTGGAGCCAAAGGTGAACACACCGCGTTTTTATTCACGGATTCTCAAATAGTACAAGAGGAATTTTTAGAAGACGTCAATAACATTTTGAATTCTGGTAATTTCCCCCCTTCCCCCTCCCCCCTTCCCTCCCCATCAAAAATTAAATTGTCATTTGTCTTTTTTTTTTATCTGAATCAGGTGAAGTACCAAATTTATTCGAAGCGGAAGAATATGAAAAAGTTATAAACGCTTGCAGGCAAAATGCGAGAGATTCTGGTGTAAACGAAGGAAATCGAGATCAATTATTTAATTTTTTCGTTAGTCGTGTCAGAGGAAATTTACACGTGGTTCTGTGCATGAGTCCCGTAGGAGACGCATTCAGGTACGGTATGTGCACGTGTGTCTTCCATGTCCGCGGATAAATATTAATTTAAAACGAATGATTTCAGACGAAGGTGTCGAATGTTTCCGTCATTGGTCAACTGTTGCACGATCGATTGGTTTTTGCCATGGCCTACCGAAGCGCTTTTATCCGTTGCTAAAGAATCTTTTGCAAATGTCGTGCCTGATTCTACCATGGTACAAAATTTATCTCTTACATGCGTCACCATGCACGAAGTACGAATAAGTAATAAATTTAAAGTATCGAAATCATTTTTTAAAATACGTAGACGATGGGAATTTTATTGATTTTTGATTTTTAAGAGCGTGGAAGTGATGACGCAACGTCTTTTGGTCGAGAAGCGGAGGTATTATTACACAACACCGAGCAGTTATTTGGAATTGTTGAAAAATTTTAAACTCACGCTGCAAAAAAAAATTGAAGAAACGACCAAACTCCGCGAGAGGATAGCAAACGGTTTGAAAAAACTTCGCGATACGAACATACTCGTTGACAAAATGAAAATCGAATTGACTGCGTTTAAACCGAAATTAAAAGAAAAATCAAACGCGACTCAAGCTTTGATGAAACATTTAACCAAAGAACAAGCAGCTGCTGATAAAGTTCGACAAGTGGTTTTGGTTGATGAATCTGTCGCGAAGGTAATTTGACGCGGACATTTTTTTTTTTTTTTTTTTATCTTTTTAATACCTGAAATTAATTTTTGAAAAAAATAGAAAAAAGCGGCTGAAACGCAAGAATTGGCAGACGATGCGCAAAAGGATTTAGCCGAAGCGATGCCAGCCATGGAAGCAGCAATGAAAGCTTTGGAAGCTTTAAATAAAAACGACATAAATGAATTAAAAGTGTTTAACAAACCACCGGAACTTGTAAAAGTCGTCATGGAGGCCGTTTGCCTCCTCCTGGGAGTCAAGTAAGATCCGGAAAAAAATTTTAAATGACAAAAAATTTAATTTTTTAAGAAAGATTAAGAAAATTTCATTTTTTTTTAGACAAGATTGGGCATCTGCTAAACTCATACTCGGAGATGTTAATTTTTTAAAAAAATTACAAGAGTACGATAAAGACCACATGAGTGATAACATGCTCAGAATATTGCGAAATAAATATATAAGTAATCCGAGTTTCGTACCTGAAAAAGTAGCGACTCAATCAAAAGTATGTAAATCATTATGCATGTGGGTGAGAGCCATTGACGTTTATGCAAAAGTTTTCAAAGTCGTCGAGCCTAAAAGAAAAGCGTAAGTTTTTACTTACACTCTCTATTATAAATATAATTTGAAAAAATTAATAATAAAGAAAATTTTTTTTGTAGGCTCGCCGCAGCAGAAGCTGAACTCGATGGTATAATGTCCGTGTTGAAAGAAAAACAAAACAAGTTGGCAGAAGTTGAAGCACAAATAGCTAATCTGGAAACTCAATTCGATGCAAGCGTTGCAGAAAAAGCACAATTAGAAGAAACAATGGCTTTGACAACAGCTAGACTAGGACGATCGGGAAGGCTGACATCGGCTTTGGCAGATGAAAAAGTTCGATGGGAACAACAAGTCACGGTTAGCCTACCGGAAATGATTTTTAAAATGTCCGCCGCCATTTATCGATTCTTATTTATTTTCGTTCACGTTTGTTACAGACGTTCACAGAACAATTGAAAAACATGATAGGAGATGTTTTAGTGGGTGCAGCATGCATGTCCTATCAAGGACCATTTCCGTCTGATTTTAGAGACGAACTAATAAATATTTGGTTAGATCGTTGTTTCGAATTGAAAATACCCGCATCGAAAACTTTCAGTTTGATTAACGTGTTCGCCGATCCTTACGAAATTCGCATGTGGAACTCGTTCGGTTTACCCCGGGATAACATTTCAACTGAAAATGCAATTTTGGTAACGAAATCTCAAAGATGGCCGCTCATGATCGATCCACAAGAACAAGCAAATCGTTGGGTGAGAAATATGGAAGTGGAAAACGGATTAAAAATATGTAAAATCTCCGATACTGGTTTCATAAGGCTGCTGGAGAGTTGCATTCGAGTCGGAATGCCTGCTCTTCTGGAAGAAGTCGGAGAAACTTTGGATCCGACTTTAACACCGATTTTACTCAAGCAAACTTTTGTACAGGTACAAGATAAAATTACCATATATAAATTATGGCGATTTAATCACTAATTTTTAAATAAAATTTTTACAGGGTGGTAGAGTCATGATTCGTTTGGGAGATAGCGACGTCGAATACGACAGTCAATTTAAATTATACATAACGACAAAAATGGCAAATCCTCACTACCTTCCGGAAATATGCATTTTGGTAACATTGGTCAATTTCACTGTGACTCCTTCCGGTTTAGAAGATCAATTACTAGCGTAAGTAAGCGAGTATTAACGCATAATTAAAATTCCCATTTCGAATACTTAATAATAAGGGAAATGTTCGGGAAAATTTAGGGACGTCGTGAGATTGGAGAGGCCGGATTTGGAAAAAATCAGAACGGAACTCATAACGAGAATCAATAACGACAAACATCAATTGAAAAGCATCGAAGATAAAATATTAAAAATGTTATTTCAATCAACGGGAAATATTTTAGACGATGAAGAACTCATCGAAACTTTAAACGAAAGTAAAGAAACGACGGAAGTTATTGCGTCACGTTTACAGGAAACGGAAGCGACGGAAGAAAAAATATCAATAGCCAGAGATAAATATAGAATCGTTGCGACGAGAGGATCCATTTTGTATTTTGTTGTGGCACAATTAGCCGAAATCGATCCGATGTATCAATATTCGTTAAAATATTTTAATCAGGTACCGCCTACCTCCCCCCCCCCTCTCTCTCTCTCTCTCTCTCTCCCCTTTAAAGCAAGACATTTTTTTTTGATTTTTTTTTGTTTTTTTTTTTTTTAAGGTTTTCAACAACGTTATCGAAACGACGGAAAAAGTCAAAGAACTCGAAAATCGTCTTATTATATTAATTGATAAAATAACATTGGCCGTTTACGTGAACGTATCGAGAGGATTGTTCGAAAGGCACAAATTAGTTTTTAGTTTTATGTTATGCATAAGCATATTGCAAAATAAAAAACTCGTACCTGAAAATTATTGGAATTTCATTTTGCGAGGAGTACCATCTGGTGTTAAAGTCGTGAGTTAAACGCCCCCCCCCTCCAAAAAAAAAAAAAAATCAATAATTCCTCCTCCCCCTAATTGTTAAATTTTTTTGTTTTTTGCAACATGGCGACAAATGAAGAAAACACAAAAGAAACCCGATCATCCAGCTTTAACGGATAATATTTGGAACGCGGCAAATTACCTATCGCAAAAATTTACAATTTTTCAAAATTTACAAAATGACGTTTTGACAAAAATAAGAATCACATTGGGAAATTACGATCACACAATTAATATAAACGTACAAAATAAAACGGAAAGTAAAAGAAATTGGAATAATTTATTGAGTAATTTTGAAAAATTAGTCTTATTTAAAGCACTAAGAGAAGAAAAGGTTCGTCGTCTTGACTGACTAACCTTTTTTAAAAAAAGGTTTCATTCGATTCATAAATTTTTATAAATTTCAGCTCGTTTTTCTAATAACGGAATTCGTTAAGGAAAATTTGGGAAAAGTTTTCATTGAAAGCCCTCAAATAGATCTTCACACATTGTAATAAATTTTTTTTTTAGTTTTGAAAGGTTTGTACGACTGCAGAACGAGGTCGAGTAAAGGATTTTCCTTTTGATTTTAATTGACAGGTACAAAGACACGTCAAATATCACGCCCCTCATATTCATACTAAGCACGGGTTCGGATCCCATGGGAGCTTTTCTAAGATTTGCTGCCGATAGAAATTACTCAAATAGAATTCAATCGATTTCATTGGGTCAAGGTCAAGGACCCGTCGCTGAAAAAATGTTAAAAGAAGCCGCAATATCTGGAGATTGGGTATTTCTCCAGGTATTTCTCTTTCGAATCGTTCGTTTCTCATAAATTTTTGTTAAAATACGTAAAATTTTTCTTAAAGAATTGTCATTTGGCAACTTCTTGGATGTTACCGATGGAAAGAAAAATCAGGCAAATCGGTGAAAGTACGGAAAAAGTACACGCGGATTTTAGAATTTTTCTAAGTTCGATGCCCTCGAAAGATTTCCCAGTTTCCGTTTTACAAAATTCCGTTAAAGTAACAAACGAACCACCGAAAGGTTTAAGAGCAAACGTAAAAAGAGCTTTTTACGAAATGTCAAAAGATTTTTTCGACGATCATCGTGAGTTTGATTATAATATTTAAAAAAAAAAAACTAATTAATTAACGAAATAATAATAATAATAATAATAAATTTTTTCCAGCGCTTCAAAGCAGATGGCGTAAAATGGTTTTCGGTTTGTGTTTTTTTCACGCAATCATTCAAGAGAGGAAAAAATTTGGTCCTTTGGGATGGAACATAACGTACGAATTCAACGACAGCGATAGAGAATGCGCTTTGCTCAATTTGAAAATGTTTTGCACCGACGCGACGATCCCTTGGGATGCTTTGGTATACACGACGGGTGAAATAACATACGGTGGTCGCGTCACCGACGGTTGGGATCAAAGATGTTTAAAAACGATTCTCAAAGGATATTTTTCACCGGTCACTCTAAACAAAGGTAAATAAAAGGTTATTAAACCCCTTTTACGAAAACAAACGTCTCACCGAGCGTCGTCTGTTTCACATTTTTTTTTTTTTTTAGGTTATACGTATACCGAATCCGGAACTTATTACTGTCCCGAAAGTATGAGTACGACAATAAATAATTTAGAAAAATATCGAAATTTTATCGATAATCTACCGATAATCGAAGAACCGGAAATATTTGGAATGCACGAAAATGCAAACATTGCATTTCAAGTAACAAAAAAAAAAAATTTTATTTACTTTTTTTGTTTGTCGATTTATACGAATCGTGATACACGCGTGTACGTCTTGTTGCAGATATCGGAAACTCAAGGCGTCATTCTAACGATATTAGATGTGCAACCGAGAGAATCAGGAGGCGGGGGTGGGAAAACAAGCGACGAAATTGTTTTCGATTTGGCCGTTTCCATTAACGAAAGAATCAGAAATAAAATAGATCCGGATAAAGCGGCAAATTCTCTCGTTCATGTAAAAAACGTTTTCAAAGGAAAAGGAAAAGGAAAGAAAACAAAGGAAAAACTTATTTTTTTTTTTTTTTAGAGAGATCCGAAAGGTCGTTTGCCCTCACTGACGACGGTTTTGTTTCAAGAAACGGATAGATTTAATAAACTTTTAAAAGTTTTACATTCGTCTCTATCGAACCTTCAAAAAGCGATAAAAGGTCTTTTGATTATGTCTGATGAATTGGAAGATATTTACAGAGCTTTCATCAACAATCAGGTACGCTACGTAAAATAATAATAATAATAATATTTTGAAAAATATCACGTGACATAAAAATTTTGTTTTTTATTTATCAGGTACCCAAAATATGGGAAAAGGTTGCGTATCCATCCCTTAAAAGTTTAGGAAGTTGGGTTCAGGATTTAGAATTAAGATTAGATTTTATAATGGTGAGAATTTGCTTTTCCTTTTCTTTCCTTTTTCTCTCTCTCATTAAAAAACTAACTAAAGTTAATTTTCAGGTTTGGATAGAAAAAGGACCCCCTTTGTCCTATTGGTTACCAGGATTTTTTTTCCCACAGGGTTTTCTAACGGGTGTTTTACAAACTCACGCGAGAAAACACAACACACCGATTGATCAATTAAAATTTGATTTCATACCTCAAAAGGATACAGTAGATCAAAATTCGGTTAAAAAAACACACGATAAATATGGGAAAGACGTAAGTCGACGTTAATTTAAATAAATTTTTTATATGAAAAACGAATAAAAGGTGATGACGCGTTAAAAAAGGTTCTAGGTACTTATGGTAATTTGACTACGCCCGGTGATGGAGTTTTAATACACGGTTTATTTTTGGATGCTGCACGTTGGCATTATCAGACAATGCGTTTAACGGATCCGTATCCGGGAGAAATGAATCCTCCACTTCCGGCTATGGTGATACATCCGCAAACGACGCCACCTATCACGGAAGGAAAATACGTTTGCCCCCTTTATAAAACTTCTAACAGAGCTGGAGTCTTATCGACTACGGGTCACAGTACCAATTTCGTAGTACCCGTACTTTTACCCACGGATAGAGATCAAAGCGTTTGGATTATAAAGGGAACCGCTTTGCTCACTCAAATCACGGACTGATCACGAACACTCATCAACCCTAACCAAAATAAATAGAAAAAAAAAAAAAAACTTACCCCGGTTATTTGTCTTCTCCCCTTCTTTTTTCCCCTTGATTGCATTTAATCTCCCCTTAAATTTTCACGCGTATGCAATTTGCAAGACACGAAAGCTCAAACAATTGCGTACTTTAATTAAAAGAAAAAAAATCGCGCACGTGTTAATTTAAAAAACAAACAAACAAACAAAACAAACAGAACAAAACAAAACAAACAGATAAACAAACGAATAAAATCACAATTGAAAATAAATTATTATTATTAATATTAAATTATTTATTTTTATCATAATATATATATGTGTGTATAAATCAAATCAAATTAAATTTTTTTAAATTTAATTTATGAAAATTATTATTAATAATAATAACAAAAAGATATTTATTAAAGTACTCGCGCCCGCCCGCACTCGCGTCTGCACGCACTCACGCGCACTCACGCACTTAACTAATAATACTTGTGAATGTTTTTAATATCAGAATGCTGTCGAACGACGTGTTGTTTTAAATTATATCTAAATCTGGCAACGTAGGGACACCAATTGCACATGAATTGTGGCGCTTTACCGCATTCCCATTTCAAATGCCTTTGAAGACAATATTTGACGGCGTATTTCCTGTGACATCCAGAACACGCATACGTTTTCCTCACGTATTTATCCTTTCCCGTCAACGATAAAAATGATGATGATGATGATGATGACGTGGTTCTCAAACATCTCCCGTATTCTAAATGATAAAAAAAAAAAAAAATAAAATAAAAAAAATAAACAAAAAAAAAAAAAAATCGTTAATAGAAATCGTATAAATATCACGACGTAATAATAATAATAATAATATTAATGAAATTATACAACACCGCGACGGTGACGATAATAATAATAATAATAATAATAAATATATTATAAATTTATTCATTTATTTATTTAAAAAAAAAAATTCTTTGTTTCTTTCATTTGTTTTCTTTATATATTAATTAATTAATCAATCAATCAATCATTCGAACACAATTTAAAAAAAATTCTTATTATTATTATTATCACTTTAATAATAAATTAACTAATAATAATAATAATAATAATAACTATAACAATCACAAATCATTTTAATTTATTAATATAATAATAATTTTTAATTTTTTTTTTTTCCATTTTTATTTTTATTTGTTTGTTTGTTTGTTGTTTGTTTATTATTATTATTTAAAAAACTTATTTGGTAGGGATTCTTATTAAAACATAAAAATTAATAAAATTAATAAATTACACGCCAAATACATACATACATACATACATACATACATACAAACAATTACCCATATACATATTAATTACATTTATGTAATTTTTAATTCGATTTTATTTATTAAAACAACTCTTTCAAGAATAATAATAATAATAATAATAAATAAATTAAATAATTAATTAATTAATTAAATAATAATAATAATAATAAAATTTTTAATAGTCTTTAGTCTCGGGATAAAATTTAAAACAAAAAAAAAAAAAAAAAAAAAAAAAATTTTTTTTCAATTCCATCATATAGGAAAACGAATAATTAAAATTAATAATAATAATAATAATAGAGAAACTCAAATTTATTTTAATATATATATATGGCCACCGTTTTTTTTTATTTTATTTTATTTATTTATTTATTTATGTACATATATAAAATTTTAATTCGGTGGTTTATTTTTTTTTAAATTAAAATTAATAATTCGTAAATTCGTAAATTGTACTACTATTTTTTTTTCTTCTTTTTTTTTTTTTTTTTTTTTTTTTTTGGAAATTTGAACGACAAACAAAACGAAAAAAAAAAAAAACACTTGAAAGAGTTAAGTGACGTAATCAGAAGAAGAAGAAATAAATAATAATGATAATAATAACCAATATGGAGATCGCGGAGGAGGGAGGAGAGAGCGGCGGAGGGAAGGGAGTAATAAGGAGGAGGATAAGAAGGAACAAAAAGAAAAAAGGAAAAGAAAAAATAATGGAAAAATGTGGAGGAGGGAGAAGGGGAGGGGAAGGTAGCAAGGCGGAGGTTAGGGAAGTAAGGAGGAGAATTAGAAGGAATTATACGAGAAAAGAAAATAAAATATAATGGAAATTGTTTAAGGGAGGAGGGAAGTAAGAAGGAGGAGGATAAGAAGGAACAAAAAGAGAAAAGAAAAGATGTGATGGAGGGGAGGGGAGGAGAGAGGGGAAGGGAGGGCAGCAGGAGGAGGAGGAAAGGAAGTAAAAGGCGAGGATATTAGTAAGGAGGAGGTGAAGGGGAAGGGGAGGGGAGCAGTATGAGGAAGGAGGAGTAGAAAAAACCGAAAAACGAGAAAAGTAAAGAAAAGAAAAATCAGTCGACGACGAAAAAAAAAAAAAAAAGATTAAATATTAAATTAAATTAGTTTTTTTTTGTGTTGTTGTTGTTGCTGTTGTTGTAGCTGCTGCTGTTGCTGCTGCTGCTGCTGGAGCTGGAGCTTGAGCTTGAGCTGAAGCTGGAGCCGTAGCTAAAGCTGAAGCCGTCGGTCGAATTGTAACCCTTTGTTAAATCAAACCTCCTTCCATGAGCAATTGCAAATGATGCCTTTTCATGTGTTTGGTAAGACTAAATTTAAATTTTGTTTGATGAGGACACCAAATGCATTTAAATCTCGGGGATTTCCCGCATTCCCAATTAATGTGCCTCGTCAACGTGCTTTTTTCCGCGTAGAGACGATGACATTGTAAACATTCGTAACGTTTGACTCTTTTCCACGTGAAACCTGAAAATTTATAACATTTTTTTATTTTAATTAAAAAACCTATTTATTATTCTTCATTTTTTCTTTTAATCCCTTCGCCCCCCTCCCCCATCCCGGAAACAAAACGAAATTATTATTATTATTATTATTATTATTATTATGACAACGACGACGACGACGACGACGACGATGATAACTATAATAATCTCAATACTAAATTTTCTCATGAACAATTTCATCATCATCATCATCATCATCGCCATCGTCGTTTCCGTTTCCGTTTCGCGATCATTTTCATATCCGGAATTATATCCGTAGTAATAATAATAATAATAATATGAAAAAAAGAAAGTAAAAAATAAAAAATAATAAAAAATAAATTCAAAGCAATTTTTTATTCGATACAAAAATTTTTTGTTTTTGTCTTTGTTTGTTACGTTAATAATTATTATTATTATTAATTTTTTTTTTATTATTATTATCATCGGTAAGTTTTTTTTTTTTATTGACTTAATTTAATATTAATAACCTTATTATTATTATTATTATTATTATTATTATTATTATTATTATTATTATTATTATTATTATTATTAGTGTGACGTTTAATGAAAATTATTTAGGTTTCCGTTTCCTACGTAACGTGTAATACTCGAAGGCGTAAAAACAAGATTCTCTCTCTCTCTCTCTCTCTCTCTCGCTCTCCCTTTCTCTCTACTTCTCTCTCTCTCTATCTATCTCTCTCCCACACAGTTTACGTTTAAATTACAAAAAAAAAAAAATTTTTTCTCATTCTCATCATCTTCTCTTACACGAATGATTAATAATAATAATAATAAGTTAATTAATTAATTAATTGAGTTGTCTTGATTATATATTATTCAATTATTATTATTATTATTTTAAAAATAAGACACTTAAATTTAAATCGATTATTATTATTATTATTATTATTATTATTATTAATTATGGTTACGTGTTATGACTAAATTAGGAACGAATGTTCGAAAGTGCGAAAAATTTTTTTTTTTTTTTTTTTTTTTTTTTTACTACTATCATCATCATCATCATTATCGTTACGTATTTATAAATTTTTTTTTTTTTTCTACGATAACGATAATGATAATATTCTAATAATAATAATAATAATAATAACATTAATAACAATAAATAAATCCCGCCCCCTTTTGTGTTTCCCGACTACTTTTTTTTTTGGTAATAACGGTTAACGTGTTTTCGTTTTCCGTTATCAATTATAATAATAATAATAATAATAATTTATTTTAAAAGCGATAAATAATTTAATCGGGGGGGAGAAAGGGGGAGGGGGGAGAAAGGGGGAAGGGCGAAGGTGGGTTGGGTCGGATTGGATTGGGGGCGGGGAAATATGGAATGATATGGAAATATTTTTATTATACGAAATAAGGCACACACCCACGCAAAATAATAATAATAATTTTTTTTCTCTTTTTCTTTCCTTCTTTTTCTCCTTTTTCTTCTTCTTCTTTTTTTCTTCGGTAATTAAAATTTTCATTTTTTTCCCGTTGACAAAAAAACAAACGGAAAAAAAATGATGATGATAATAATAATAATAATAATTATAATCCTCCATCGAAAAAAAAGTATCATTATAAATACTATTATTATTATTATTATTATTATTATTACTATCACTATCGTTATTAAACATCGTGTTTATATGAAAACAAACGTTTTTACAAATTCGAAACAAACAGTAGTAGTAGTGGTAGTAATAATAATAATAATAATTTACAAATAAATCCGATCAAAACTTAATTTAAACATTAAAAAAAAAAATTGCGTCTCTTCAACAAATTCAATTTTTTTTGTTTGTACGTGTTATGTTTGTTTGGTTGTTTGTTTGTTGGGTTGTTTGTTTATTTATTTATTTATTCGTTACAAAATTAATTATTATTAATAATAATACATTTGTTTTGTTTTTTTTTCCGTACATTACATACATAATTTTTAATATATATATATATATATAAATCTTTATTAAAAAAAAAAAAAAGTGCGTAACATGCGTGTGTATATATTTATATTATACACACATACATACATAAATATATATATTTATTATTATTATTGTTATTATTATTAATATTCTATATATATATATAAATATTTTACATTAAAGCTTTTACATATAAATCTTAAATAAAAAATAATAATGTTAAATATAAAATAAAATTTAAAAAAATTTTTTTTCAAGTGCTTTGGTTACGGTATTATTATTATTATTATTATTATTATTATTATTAATAATTAATTTAATTATTGACTAATAAAAAATATATATATATAAAAACAATAATACAAAAAAAAAACGTTTGGGTAGAAAAAAAATATGGCAATACGTCTCCGTTTTAAAAATAAATTAATAAGTTTTGTTAATTGATTAATTAATTAATTAGGCGTTCGGAGGCGTTCGCTCTGTGCGTTCGTAACACTTATTATATATATATATATATAATTTGTGATAATATCATCGCGACGCGAAATTCAATGTTAAAAAAAATTAATAAAAAAAAATTAAATTCGTGTATGTACATGTAAAATCGTTTGAACAAATACGATAATAATAATAATAATAATAATAATTATTAATATTATTTTATATTATCGATAAGAGTACATTTTGTAATAGGATTCGATTGATTTACGCCGCTTTAAAATCAAACTATTGTGTGTGTGTGATGATCGGTTGTACGAAATCGTAGTAATTTTCCCACTTCCGCCTTAATATTTTCCGACGGAAAAAGGAAAAGTTCGTTTCCGGTTTCGTAAACGTGCGTGAGAAGAAATACTCTTTACATTTAACAACAACAACAACAACAAAAATTAAATTATATCTCACGCGTTCTTAAAATTTAAACGAAACGAAACGAACGTGTATTACGTTTTTTTTTTTACTCGTGATAATAATAATAATAATAATGATAATGATAACAATAATAAAAAAATTACATTACAATAAATAAATACAAAAAAAAAAAAAAATTGGAATGCTAAAAAGCGTCGTACGCATAATTATAAAACCGGAACTAATAGTAATGATAATAATGATGATGATGATGATGATGATGATGATGACGATTGCAATTTAACAAAAAAAAAATATTTCGTCATAAAGATCATCATCATCACGACGGCGACCATTTATAACATCATCATCATCATCATTATTATTCATTTATTTATTTATACGGCTGTGTGATATACAATTTGCAAAACGTTCGTCGCGTGACGTAGAAGACGAGGATGACGACGACGACGACAGCGGCGGCGGCGGCGGCGGCGACACGACAATTATTATTATTATTACGATGGTGACATATATCATTTTTTCTTTATCATTTTCCCAAAAAGTGCAATAGATTTTCCGGCGTGAAACGAACTTCCGAATATTCCATGTGATTCCTTAAAAAATGTTCCTTTATACGAAACCTCCATTTTGTTTCGTATTGACAATAGTTACATCTAAACTGTGGTAATTTACCACAATCCCATCGTAAGTGACGGTTGAGACTAGTTTTTTCCCGATAAGTTTTCTGACACTGGTGACAGTGAAATTGACGCTTGTCCAATTCCAAACCTAAAATAATTATAAAATTTATGTTAAAATAATTAATTACAATTTAAAACGTTTACATTTACAAAATAATTAATAATAATAATAATAATAATAATAATAACAATATTAATTTTCAATTTTTTTTTTTAATTTTATTTTTTCCCCCATTTTTCAATAACCCTCTCCCTCCCTTTCTCTTTTCTTTTTTTGAACAATGAACATCCTTTATACAAATATTTACAATTTTTTACATCAAATTAAATTACAATTTAAATTACAATTTATTTTAAAAACGTGAATGTACACGTGTATATACATATTTTTTTTAAATTTTATTATCGAAAACAATTATTTATTTATTTATTTATTAATCACATTTATATCCTTTTAGAAAACAAAAAGAAAATTATTATTATCATCATCATCATTATCATCACCGACATAATTTTTTTTTTTAAATATTTTTATTTACATAATTACAATAATTATGTAAACGTGTTTGGCACGTGTATGACAAGAAATGACGAAAAATTTTTACGACATTTAAAACGTTTACAAATAATAATAATAATAATAACAAAGATAATGACCGTGACAATGATAATGATGATAATCAATGATAGATAATAATAAGAAATAAATAATAATAATAATAATAAACAATATTATTTTCTCTCTCTCTTTCATCAATCATTTTCAACGCGAAAATTTTTTTTTCGACGTGCCACCATGATAATGATGATGATGATGATGATGATGACGACGACGACGACGATTAATTTTATTACGTTGATTCTGATGATGATGACGTCGATGTCGATGATAATGATAATTATTATTACGTAAACGATTATTATAAGATGTTAAATGTTCTCTAGCAAAGTGATCCTGTAAATAATCTATTCTTCCAACTCTAAAAAAAGGAAAAACCGGATGTTCCGTTAAATCCCGTTCGATTTTTAAATTCCTTAACGACCGCAAATTATTTTCATTGTAATTAAAACGATGAATTTCTTCGATTGGTTGCTGTTGTCGAACTCGTGATAGTCGATTGACGTCGACGATGCCTAAAAATTAAAATTTACATTATTATTATTATTTAAGTTTTTTTCACATTAAGTAAATATTAAAATGAGATCATGACGTATTTCGTGATGACGACGATGATGATGATGATGATGATGAAATCATTATATTTTTATATTTTAAATAAAATTTATTTAATTTAATTAGTTTTTTTTTTATTTTTTCACGTTCATTTTATCTCTTTCTCTCTCGCTCTCTCTCTCTTTCATTATCACGTGAAATAAATATGACAGAAAATTAATTTTTTTATTAATTTTATTAATTTAGTTATTTACGTTTTAAATCAACAAAAAAAAAAAAAAGAACAAATCGAAATTTTTTATTTTTTAAATTTTCCCCCAACAACCCATTAATTATTAATTATTTATTTATTTATTCGATCCCGAATTCCATAATTTTAAAATAAAATTAATTTAACAATAAAATTTAAAAACAAAAAAAAAAAAAAAAAACGTAATTTGGTGGGTCGCCATTTTTAAATTTCCATGTACCTTTTTCCCCTTTACCGTGTACTTAACCAAAAAAAAAATTTATTTATTTATTTTTATTTATTTATTTATAAGATGAGTTATCCGATCTGAAACTAACAAAACAAAAAAAATCGCAAAGTTTTTAATTCTATGATGTAAATATTATTATTATTATTATTATTAAGAAAAAAAAATTCGTTTTCGACGTACCTTAATGTTTCGGATGAATATTGTTGAACGTATTTGTGTCTTCCACGTATGTGAACGCGAAGGTTACCTTTTTGATGACACCTGTACGAGCATAGGGGACATTGAAATTGCGGTGGTTTACCACATTCTAATTTTTTATGCCTTTTCAAAGTTCCCAAAAATGAATATTTTCTCCCGCAATCGTTACATTTGAAACGTTGCTTCATAAGTTTCGTCGTCGAACACCCGGAACCCGGAAAACCTAAAAAATTATAAACCAGAAAAAAAAAAAAAAAAAAAAAAAGAAAAAAAAAAAAAAAGAGTGATAAAAAACAATATTAAAACAACAACAATTTTTTTTTTTTTAAATTAATCGACGATAATAATATTAATAATCAATTAAAATAAGGGGGGGAGGGGGGGGTGGTCCAAACGATAAAACCAAAGGGTAGACGAGTGACGGAAATTCACAGGAAGATCACACACGAAGAATCGCCGCCATCGTTCATCCCTTAAAGTTTACCTAGCTGGACCATCACCATCGCTTTACCTAAGCAAAATTATCAAAAAAAAATTTGTAAATAATAATGATAATAAAAAAAAAAAAACATCAACAACAGGAAAGCGACAAATAAATCAAGCAAGTAAAAACGATGAATAAAAAAAAAAACAACAACCTTACCTTGACCTCATTACAATTTATTAAATTGATCGATGGATCGATCGATAAATCGATCGATCGATCAATCAATCAATCAATCAAGGTATAACGGAATAACCAATAAAATTTATAAAATTTTAATTTAACTCAACTTTTTTTCTTTTCTTTTCTTTTTTCTTTTTTTTTTTTTCTTTTTTTTTTTAATAATATTTAAAAAAAAAAAAAAAAAAAAAAAAAAAAACGTTTCTTACTAAACGGATGATAATGATAATAACTTGTCGTAACAACAGTAGTAATAGTAATAATAATAATAAAATACCATAACGATAATTGTTTGTTTTTTTTTTTTTCTCTGTCTTTTTTTTTCTCTTCTTTCCTCTTTTCTTTTTCCCCTCTCAAAAATGTGGCACGATGGCACGGAAAACTCCTAACGCTCTCTCACTTTTATTACGTAGAAAAGCTTGATATTTGACGTGATGAAGACGAAGATGCTGTATTAGATTTGACGTTTTCGACATTCCTTTCCTGTATTTAAGTGGTTTCCTACACGTTTGACCCCATGCTAAATTACGTGGTTCTTTTAATGTGAAAAAATTCCATATCGGATTTTCTTTGCTCATTTTAAGAACGACGTCCCAGGGAGCTCTCAACGATTTCGAATCTTTAAAAAAAAAAATCAAAAAAATCAAAAAAAAAAAAACAAAAAAAAAAAAAAAAACAAATTTCATTAGTATACCAAAAAATCAAAAAATATTATAAAATAAAAAAAAAATGTCATAAATTATCACAATCGTTTTCACATTATTATTATTATTATTATTATTATTATTATTATTATTATTATTATTATTATTATTAATATTATTATTATCATTATTAATCATTATTAATTTTATCATTATCATTATTATTATTATTAAATCAAATGAGACACATTTTAAACATTTACACGGATAATTTTTTAAATAAGTGTTTGTGTGTGTGTGCATATAAAAAACGAGAGAGAGAGAGAAAGAGTGTGTGCGTGAGAGTGAAAGAAAAAAGAGAGAGAGAGTGTGAAAATAATAATAAAAAAAAAAATTTTTAACCAAATAATAATAATTAATAATTTTTTTTTTTAAAAATCGTTCAAATTTAATTTTATGTATTAGTAATTATTATGCGAACGGATCGGCGGATTTTTTTTTTTTTTTTTTTTTTTCAATTATAAATTTTTTATATATTATATCCCAAAATCCATTTTTTTTTTTTTTTAAACATAATATATCATATATATATATATATATATATACTACCTTAACATAATCAACTGTGAATAAAATTTTATTATTTCTTTATAATAATAATAATAAAAAATTAAAAAAAAAAAAAAAAAAAACTCCCCCCCAATTAATTAATTAATTAATTATTAAATAAATAAATAAATAAATAAATAATAATAATAAATAAATAATATTAAATATATAAAAAAAAAAAACCGGAAAACGTAATTTCATCTTTTATTATTATTAAAAAAAAAAAAAAATCTTTTTAATTATTTAAAAAAAAAAAAAAAATCAATAAATGAATGTTAATTGAGAGCCAAGGCACGAAACCCTTGTTGTTGTTGTTGTTTGTTATCGTTGGTTTGTTTGTTTGTTATTATTATTCCCGCCTTTAGTTTGTTTTATCGGATTTTTATAAATTTTTTTTTCATTTTATTTCGAAAAACCACTACAAATTTTATTTTAATTATTATTAATAAATAATTATTTATCGTATATCACATTCAAATTACATATTTTAATAAATTTATTAGTATTATTATTATTATTATTATTATTTAAATCAACAACAACGAGAATCATTTAGTGCTTACTTGTTTACTTCCTTCCTTCCTTTTTTTTTTTTTTTTGTAAATTAATAAAAAAATAAATAATAAACCTTTTTCGAAACCGTTTTTTTTTTTCACATTTGTTAATAAACATTAAATAATTATTAAATTCAATTTTTTTTTTTTTTAAAAAACAAAAAACAACGATTTACTACTTCGTTTAACAACAACAGGTTTTTTTTTTTTTTTTTCTCTTTCACTTCCATTCGTTTTGTTTTTTTGAATAAAATGCGTGCATGCGTTATAAAACATTTTTCTTTTATATAAGTTTTTAATTTGTTAAAATTTAAGCCCCATTAAACAATAACAAAAGGATTAAATGGCAGCAACGACAACCGCACGCGAAAAATAATACAACAAAAAAAATTGAAATTGAAATTTGTCATATGTGTTCTTTTCAAAAAAAAAATTTTCCGTTATTTTTTTTTTTTTTTTTTTTACTTTGAAAAACAAACTATTGTTTTTAATAATCATAATTTAACGGGGCATTTAAAAATTTTGTTTGTTTTTTTGTTTTGTTTTTGTTTTTTTCCAACAAATATTTTTATTGTTTTACAACATCGTGCGAAAAAAAAAAAAAAAAACGCGCGAACACGCTTGCACGCACTCATGCAAAAAAAAAAAAAAAAAAAAAAAAAAAATTTAAAATTTGATTTAACGGTTTCGAATAACTAAATGACCCTCGTAGTGATTTTTTTATGATAATAATAATAATAATTATTAATACCCGGAAGTTATAGTAGGGGTTTAACGAAAATTAAAAGAGAACAAAAAAAAAAAAAAATAAATGGAAAAATTTTCCCATTCCATTATTTTTCCTTTTTTCCTTTTTTTTCCTTTTTTTGTTTTCTTTTCGTTAACGTATAAATAAACAAAGGGAAAAAAAAATATAAAAATAAACAACAACCGTTTGTCGAACGCTTCGTCGGGATTGGCGTACGTGTGTGTGTGTGTCTGTGTGCCCCCCCATCCCTCCATTATTCTTTTTTGACGAGAGTATCAATTAAACAACTCCTATGCGATTCGACTAAATGTTGTTTCATTTTCAACGTGGGTTTTATATTGCATTCGAATAATTTTCCACACATTTTACAAACGGCCGAACGTTCTTCCCAATTCTTATTGAAACAACTCCATAAAACGGATTGATGACTCCCTCCAATGGGTGACATTTTCGTCGCGTACCTTTCAAATTCTCTCGGATGCAACCTCGATAAATGTCTTTTTAAATTCCACACTCCCGAATTTGATTGTATTTTTAATACCATGTTACATATAATGCACATTGCTGTCTTTTCTATTGAATTCCCCGTGAAAAAATCCCAGACGGATTGCGACGCTCCTAAAAAAAAAATTAAAAAAAAAATGAAAAAAAAACCAAAAAAAAAAAAAAAAACATCTTTTTTTTTTCCTCGTCTTAATCTCAAAGGGAATAATAAATAAATGGTATTTTCCTTTTTCTTTTATCCATTTTCGCGCACCGTATTATAATAATAATAATAATAATAAAATATCCAATCATGCTAATCATTATTTAATTATGGGAAATTATTATTATTATTATTATGAATTACTGACTCCTGTGTTTTTTTTAACCAATAAATACAACAAATTAATATTTAATTTCATTTTTCACTTTCATTCCTTCCCCCCCAAAATTTTTTTTTCCTCGTCGTCGTCGTCGTCATCGCCCGCCATTTTTAACCGTTAAAATATAAAAAAAAAAACTAAAATATTTTTTCACCTTCGAAACATTTCTTTTTTTCCAATTTATAATTTTATTTCGATTATTAATTAATAATACACATCCGGAGTAATTTGACATATTTAATAACCGTTTTTATTAAACAAAACCTCAAAAAAAAACTTTTTTAAAAAAACTACACTCTTTAATAAACTTATCGATGAAAAGATAAAACTACAACTGAGTCCGCCAAAGTACCTGCACGGCGATTCGAACGATTCGAACGTTTCGAACAATATTTAAAAAAAAAAACCGTTAAAACTTTGCGCTGAGATTTGGTATATTCGAATGGAAGGAGAAACGGAGAATGAGAACGAGAGAGTGAGAGTGAGAGAGAGAGAGAGAGAAAAAAGCAGACGATATAAAATCATTTGATTTCGTCAAAGGGGTGGAGTTCAATTTGAATTTGAATTTTTTTTTCGAATTCGAATGTTCGAAACGTTCAAGTGGCAAAAAAAAAAATTATTTTAAATCGAAGGTGAAAAATTATTTTATTGTGTTAAATGTTAGGAAAGGCGTGAAAGGAATTTTTTTTTTTTTTTCTTTTTCTGTGAGAGAAAAAAAAGAAAAAAATTAATTAATAATAATACTAAAAAAAAAAACGAAAAAAAAAAACGAATCGTTTTTTTTTTTTTTTTTTGTTTGATTAATTTATTTTTATTAAATTTAATTATAACGTTCAAAATTTTTAAAAAAAAATTAAATTAATTCATAAATATTATTATTATTATTATTTACGAATATTTGAATTTTTTTTTTAATATTAATTAAATTAATTTAAATTTTACGTTGTGAGAGGACGACAGGAGAGAAAGAGAGAGAGAGAGAGAGAGAGTGAAAAAAAAAGAAAAAAAAAAAATTACTGCTTTCGATTGTTATTAATAATTTTTTTACTGATTTTTTATTTTTATTTTTGTTATTTCACATTGAATGTTCTGACAAACAAATAAAATAATAATAATAATAATATCAACAAAATTGTCATTACTATTATTATTATCATTACCCATTCTTTCCTTTCGATTACTTACCAATTGAATATGTTTTACAATTTGTGTAAATTTTAATATCATCATCATCATCATCATCATCATTTACACACATTTATTATGTATAACATAAAACTTTGCTAAAATTATTATTATTATTTATTAATTAGTTTCTCAAAAAAGAAGAACAAGAAGAAGTAAAAGATGAAGAAAAAAAAAACAACAAACAAACTTTCATTCGTACAATCATTTAATTCAAAATAAAATTTTTTATAATTTGAACTATAATATAACTACATGGTAAAGATCAGCATCATTATTAATTGTAATATCAATAATAATAATAATAATAATAAAGTTTGTTTGAATAATGTAATGAAAAAGCATCGTTGAGCATTTTCAGTTGGTTATTATTATTTTTTGCCTTTACTTACCTTGTCAGTTTTTAATTTTCCATCTAATAAAGTAAAAAACTTTAATTTTGTTAAGAAAAAAAGTAAAAAAAGAAACAAGCAATTCAAATCACTAAATTAAATTAATTAATTAATTAAAATAATTAATTGTTAATTTCTTTTTTTATTCGTTTGTAATTCGTAACCATTGATAGAATTTAAAAAGTCATAAAAGGTGAAAAAAACTAAAATAAAATAAAATAAAATAAAAACCAATAGAAAAATGTATAGAATTGTCAAATATTACAACCATTTACACATTATTTGATTTAATCATTTTTATCCTTAATTACGATTTCAAAAAAGAAAAAAAAAACTTGATTTTCTACTCGAAAATGAAACATTATGAAATCTTAATTCGATAAATGATTCAATTATTTTTATAACAAGATTTGTTTGCATAGATTTTATGAGACAGTTTATGGAAGAAACAAAATTTTATAAAATAATGCCAAAAAAAAAAAAAAAAAAAAAAAAAAAAAAAACAAAAATCAGTTCGATATTAAAATATTCGATATGAATTACTATTATTTCTAAACTTGAAAAAGTTCTACGATTTGTAAGGTAATGTAACACTTTCTAAAATAAATTTTTGTTAAAATAAATTCATTTTTGTGTAAAAAAAAAACAGAAAAATTATTAATTAAAATATGACATGCAGTTAAAACTTTAAACGAAATAAACAAATGCAAACAATTTAAATTTTAAAAAAATTCGACATGATAGTTTTTTCTTTTCAATTCCTCCATAGAATGTGTTAAAATTTATGAAAATAAGTATTAATACTCGATATTGAAAGCATTTATTGTGAGATTAAATAAATTAATGTATGAAAATTGTTTAATGTTAAAATTCTAAATAATAAATAAAAAATTTCTTACCATTATAATGACAATGAATGAAAATTATCAAAAAAAAAAAAAAAAAAAAAAAACTTTCTATGTGTGGGGGGGTGGGTTGTTTAACTTAAAATATTTCTTTATAAAATGACTTTGAAAAATGTGCAATGTTGTGGGGGCATGTAAAACCCCCCCCTCACTTTCAATTCATATTACCCAACACCTTTTCAACAACACCCATTCATTATTATATATGTGCTATTATATTTTAAAATAAAACTAATCAAAAACTATTAACTGATTATTAAATATAACAAAAAAAAATTAATAAAAAAAAAAATTTGTTTTTTTTTTTTTTTTTTTTTTACAAAAAAATATTTTTATCCTACCGCATAGGGAACCTTTTTCACAGACAACAATTGCCATTGGAAACAAGTTTGTTATTCAAAACATAACAATACACATCAATTTTATTTTACTTTTTCTCCCCCCCGTAGATTATTATTATTACATCCATATATAAAATAACTATTTTTTCCCCATTAATTAATATCATTAATTAATTAATTTATAATAATTATGATAACTTTAATATGTAATCAACAATTTTTTTCATTTTTTCATTTTTTTTTTTTCTTTAAATAAACAAACTGAAAAATTAATTTTTTTTTTTTTTTTTCTTTATAATACAACACTATGCAGCATTTTATTTCCAATAACAAGAAAACAAACTGAAAAACATAATCAGGGCGACAACTTAACTACGTTGCCAACCTACATTGATCCATTTTATTCAAACGTTCCCTTATGTATTTTTTCGTTTTTTTTTTTTTTTTTTTTTAAACTTTTATCGGGGAATTAGACGACGTTACGCTTAAATGATGCCTTTTTTTTTTTTTTTTTTTTTTCAAACTTTTGTTTACTTTTACGACATTGTTTACTTTATTAACAAGGGGGGGGAAAGGAATTTGAAAATAAAATAAATAAAAAAAAAAACACAAACTTTAAATAAAAAAAAAACTCTTTTTAATAATTAAATAATTCAACAATCACAATTTTTTTGTTGTTGATTTTTACTTTTTTTTTTTTTTAAATAAAATTTTCCTTTTTTTTTTTGTAATAAAAATCGAGATTTTGCGGGAAAATCGGGAAAAAAACAATTTTCTTCCTCCCCTCCCCTCTTCCCACCTTCCCACACTATTTTAATCGATTTATTTTTCAAGTTTAATTAATAATTATGCTTCCTCTTCATATTAAATAATAAAAAAAAAAATTAATTTCCAAATAATGTTGTTTTCTCTTTGATCCGCCTACCGCCATTACCGCCGCCACCACCACCACCACCGCCAAAAATTTTCTATTTTAATGTTAAATTTGCATATCATCGAGGGTTAGAGTTAATATGACTCGAGTGATAAACACACGCCTTAACTTCCCGCCGCCGCCGCCGCTCCGCCCCCTCTCTCTTCCCTTCTTCCCTCCCCCCACTTCCCCTCTCACGCTCCGCCTTCACAAAGTAAACAAATCGAATGACGAGGGTAAAACAAACAAAACAAACAAACAAAAAGAGGAAAAGAATAAAAAAAAAAGGGGCACTGCCCGTTTGTACAGTGTCAATAGAATACTAACCCGATTGATATTCGAAACGTTGTTAATGGCTGCCAACCTAACACACGCATATATATATATATGTAAAATTGCGCCCACATAAACGCACCAACGCACACGTGAACCTTTTTTTTTTTTTTTTTCCAAAAACCCACGTGCAACCTACAACAACCGCAATCCCAATTTGTTTAATTTTATTTATTTAATTATTAAATAACATTTCATTCAAACTGTATATATTATTATTTAAATAATATTAAAAAAAAAAAAAAATTTGCGTGGGAATAACAGGAAATCATCGGTCGTGGGTTTTGTGTAACGCGCACGCACGTATGTATACACGACGTCGTCTGCTTTAACAAACAAACAACTCCTAACGTAACGAACGTTTCCCCCTACTACCCATCCATTGAAATAAAACAAACGAAAGGAAAGCAGGAGCGTAACTAATACTTCATCGACCCAAATAATATCTATTCCCGATACCTATCTTATTTTAAAGTACTTTTACATGCAATTAATTACAATGTTGCCATTTTTCTTTTCCCAATTATTTATATAAAACTTAACGTCAATGGCACGAAGCTTTTGGCTCATTTCAAGGGTACAAGAAAAAAAAAAATTTGTTTGCCATTTGATAATTGATATCATTCTAAACAACAACAACAACAACTGAAATGTTTTTTTTTTTTTTTTTTTTTTGTTTGCTTTTATTAATATATATGATGGCAAAAATTTTTAAGTATTGTTTGTTAGGTTTGTTTGTTTGTTCGTTCGTTTCTTTCCTTTTCAAGTGGGCGATGACTGATGATGGAAAATAAATTAACGATTTATTTTTTTTTTAAATTCGTGGTTGTTGTTGTTGATGGGTAAAAACCCACTTCTGTTTATTTTTTTTTTAATTAAAAGAGACGTCGTGTCAACAAGTGGGAGGAAAGAAAACAAAAAAAAAAAAAAAAAAGAAAGAAAATTTTGCTACCACCATCAATTATTGATAAAGATTACAATTCCTGTCTATCTTCTTTTCCCCCCTCATCCCTTCCTTCCTTCCTTCCACCCCTCTTTCTGTTCTTTTCAGAATCAAATATATTTATATTTATTTATTTTTATTTTCATCCCATTCAGTACTACTAGTTCCCCCCCCCTCTCCCATGGTATCTAGATGTCTCCCCAACACCTACCTGCGTTGATTATGTCTTCTTCTTCTTTTGTTCCTCCTCTTGCTTTTCTTCTGCTACTCCTGCTGTAATGCCACCGCGTTCATCATCGAAACGGTAACAAAAAAAAAAAATACCAAAAAAAAAACTTAAAAAAAATTTCTTCTCTCGGCGGACACTTTTGAAAAAAAAAAAAAAAAAAATTTTCAATTATGAATGAATCAATTAAGGAGGTCGGGAGGTCACCGTCACCACCACCACCACCATCATCATCATCATCATCAAACAGTGGTCTTTCATTTCATTCCGACAAAAAAAAAAAAAAAAATTTTTTTTAATCAATGACTCGGTGGTGACTGGACTGTGTAATAGATAATGATAATAATAATAATAATAATAATAACAACAACAATGAAAAAACAACACTTCTTTTGTTTCGGGGTGAGGGGAAGTGGTTTGTGGGGAGGGAATTTGATTTCAAAATCTACATCTTCTACATAATGGATTAAATTCCAGTCGTACCTACCTGCCTGATACGTGACCTTAAAAAAATTTTTACAAAAACCGTCAAACGGAAAATCGCAAAACAAAAACAAAAAAAATTTTCTTCTTTGTCTTCTTTGCGAATCGATAATGATAATAAAATGTTTTATAAAATAATAATAATAATAATAATAATAATAATAATAATAATAATAATTAAAAGTAAAAATAAAAAAATAATCATCACAAAACATCATCGAAATCGAAACGCGAATCATCAACGAACCCGCCATTTCCGCTCGCGCGTTTTTTTTTTTTTTTTTTTTTTTCAAATTTAAAAAAAAAATTTTCCCGGATGATCAAAAAATCATGTCGTCTCAATCTCACATTAATTATAATTAATAAATACTTATTGATTAGCCTACCTAAACTAATTTTAATCAACAACCTTTGGTGTCATTTAATACTTACACGCACTTGCACACTCGCACTTCCCTACCGGAAACGAAACGAAACCAAACAAAAAATGCCATTACTGGGTCCCGCAGCCGCTGCCGCCACGTGTGTTGAAAATAATAAAAAAAAAAAAATTCATTTGGAATGAATCTTTAGATGGGGGGAAAGAGAGAGAGAGAGAGAGAAAGAGAATTTTCTCTCTCTCTCTGTCTCTCTCTACCCTCCTCTAGAATTCCTTCCAACTTTTTTTTTTTTTTTTTTTTGTTTTACTATCAACACAACAACAGCAAAGACATTTTTTTTTTTATTTAATTTCGATCGTAAATCAACGAGACGACGACGACGCCATCGCCATCGCCGCCATCATCATTTTGTTTATTTCATGTCTCGTACCAAACTCCTCTTCTTCCTCATCCTCATCCTCCTGTTCTTCATCTTCTTCTTCTTCTTCTTCTTTCTCTTCTTTGAATAATAAATTAAAAACACTTTTACCGGAAATTTTAAATTTTATTTCGTTCGACATTTTTTTTTTTTTTTTTTTCCGATAAGTACCGGTTTTTGGGGTCTGGGTGTGTCTTTTACCGGTAAGGGGGGGAGGAAGGAAGAGAAGAGGGGGACTCGAATATGATTTCATTTTTCATTTGTTCAAAAAAAAAAAAAATAAAAAAAAAAAAAAAAAAAAA